GTTATTTGATCGACATCTGACCAGCTCAGGCCTATACTTGAGCTTAAAAAGCCTACACGATTCCTGGTTGTGGACATTCTATATTGGATACTTGAGCTGGATGAATATCTTAGCGTTATTTTATAAACGTTCGCAAGTTTTCGCGAGGTTTGAGCCGCTGACATTTCGATAGCTTGAAAGAGCCATGACGCCGTATTTTTCACCCTAAATTGTGTTGTGTGGGTCGATGCTGGTTCATTCACAAACGAGCTGTCTAGAGAGACATAAGCGTACTTGGCCGAGCAATCAATTTACAATTGAACACGTTCATAAACACGCGAGACTTGTGGTAGTCGGGAAACAAGATGATCACGGGATCGAATCCCACCTAAGGCGGGTGCATTTTTGATGGAGGCGAGAATGTTTAAGGCCCGTGTACTTGACATGGATTTAGGCGCACGGTAAAGAACAACTGGTGATCGAAATTCTTCAATTCCTCCACTACAGCGTCCCTCGTAATCATATCGTCGTTTTTGGACGTTAAACACCCATTAAAATTATTATTATGGTTATAACAGTCGGGAAAGACTGGTGCACCCGCGAGCCATCCCTTAACAAGTAGCTTGATGTGCAATCATCTCCATTCCGTGGAACGATTTGGTTCCGTGATCCGCTGTGCGTGCAATTGAGCTGTTTCATTTTCCTTCCGTTTCACATTAAAAGTGAACGATCTGCAACTGCTCAAATTTTGGAAGATGACTGCTACACTCATGTTGTACAAGATGTCCCACACGCCATAGAAAAATGGCGAGCACCAGTGGTAGTTTATAGCCGGATACTTTTAGGCCTGATTTTTCAACTGGCATAGGAACGATAGATTGGTGACTTCTATTTCTCGCTAAAACCACAAATTATTGGGCGACCATGTCAGGGCCTTTCAATAAAGCGTATTGTGTTGCTAGTTTCGTTTCCTACAAAAACTAAGGACGCAAAGCAAAACGAAGAAAACGAGAGTTAATGACCGTGCAGGGGAACGCGAGCTTTCGATCAAAAATGAGGTACCCTATTACGAGCTGTTGGCTGCCAGATAGTAATGATTTCTCATGATGCACGTCGCCGACAGCCAAGAAGATTGTTCCGCATTCGACGCATTCACATCAGGCGGCGCTGACAGACACTCTCACGTTTAAACGAACATATATACCCTCTAAAGGGGCAGGAGGATGGCCGTCATCCGTATATAACTTAGTGGTCGAGCATCGAACGCTATTCGAAGGTCGCAGGTTGGGTTCCTGCTGGTGGCAAGTCTATCTTTTCGCCATTTTCATGACTTCACGTTTACGTTACAATCACTTCTAATAACATCCGCTACATTTTCCTTTGTTTCATTGGCTGGTATATCTCACTAATACTCTAGTTAGCGGATACCAACCAAAAACGCCATCTCCCGCCTGCTTAAATAAAATTTCAATGCACCAAGTTGACTCAATCTGAGGCTTTCTCCTTTGTTCCTTCTCCCTACCCCCTCAAAAAAATTTAAAATGGGATTTCATTCCCTGCACAAAGTCCGATTTTCACTTTGCACGTTCTTTCGTTTGCCAAGCAATCTTTAGGCCGCAAAAGGGATGTGTTTTCGGTGTTGTGAAGCTATAATTTATTATTGCGGCAGAAGTAGTTTGCCTTTTTATCGATCTTTGAAGCAATCTGTCATCGCCCTCATGCTTCGGTTACACTTGATCTTCTTTCGCGCAAAATGAACTTTCAACACAATACGATATGCAAGTGCTGCAAGCAAAAGTGATCGGTCTTCAACTATAGGTGGTCATTCTCATTTTTTATTTACTTTTTTAGCAAAATTCAGCTCGCAGGTGTGAATAAACACGCTTCAAAGACTCGAAAACGAGATTTTTCGCTGCCAAATTTCACAGATGTTGCGTCGTGGCCAAAATAAGCGGAGAATGTTCCTGATCGCTGTTGTGGCTTTCGTCGTCTTCTAAACGACCTTCGCATGATGTAAGTATCCACCCGCTTGAATAATATAACTGCGTAGCTAGTTAACCTAATGCTACTGTCACAAATGCGTGCTTGTATTATTTGTTACTATTTTTGTTGTGCCAATATGTGTGATAATGTAGTATGTGTCATATACGTAATATATAGTAACTATATGTATGTGTATTATTGTAATATGCGTACTACATGCGGAAACTGTCCCCTTAATTATTTACCCATATATAAAAGCAATTGTTCAGAAGAGCAATCTCAAATACGTGGTGCGCACATGAAATTTTTCGATCCACATTTTGAAATTACTTCGCAAGTTTTTGTTACATTGCTATAATGATGAAGCATGATTTTCTCGTCTCTCGTGATTATTAACAATATGTTCGCGTGAGCTACTCAGTGGTGACTGGTCTTGTACATTTTATTTCGTAAAGCACCAAATGTGGTCAACTCGTCTTGAATGACCACGGCCTAAGAACTAACACCGTGGTTCCGTACCATATACGGGAACTGACCCAGTACGTGACATATGGGAAGGCTTAGCCAATGAAGTTGTAACGTAAGCTGAGATCTTGCTCATGCCGCTATTTCACTGTTTTGGCACTTGGTTGGACTAAATTTCGTGACTTCCGCCGGGTAGCTGACGTGGGCTTGAGACCCTGGCATTACTTCAAGCAAGCTTTAGTAAAAGTACACTTCATAATTGTTTTTGGGGTGAAAAGGTGATGCAAACATACGGTTCTGATCTTTACTATTACAAACTGTACCATATTTTGTTTTAACCATTTTGTGCAGTGCAGCCTTCTTCCAGTTGTGGAAGGAACCAGCGGGAGGTAACGGGCACAAAAGGAGCCGATACCAGCGAGAAATACTGCGGCCGTGACAGTTTCAACGGCGGTACGCGTCGGCGATCAACATGCAAGAAAAGTGGTGTGAGATGTGTATGCGTAAATGGTTTCTTCAGAAAGCAACCTGGTGGCTGCACCGATTGCGTTCGTGTAGACATGTGCAGTTAGGTATAAGTAGTGCGTAGTACGTTATTAATAGTTCCTTGCTGGTGCTGACAACAGAGTGGTCACCGAATTGCTGTAAAATGCATCAGCGTGATGTTCGACGGCGACAATTGAGTGAATCAGTTGTACCGAAAAGGCACCACTGAATAAACGAGAGAACCGCTGGTTATGTGCTTTCAATTTGTTCTGTGCCATTGCAGTCATCATTACTACTGTCATCGCCTTTAACGGGCTATGTCGACAACATGGAAAAGATAAGCAATTTATCTGCTGGTGATAATCGTCGCCTTCTTGCGAGGTATCGTCTGTTCGTACATTCCATATACACTCAACCCAACACACATTCCAGAGATGTTTTGCCTTGTTAATTACCATATGAACGCTTAGGTGAACCAGCTACATTACCACGTAATAGGCGCTTGAGATATTGATTATAGAGAATCAACCAACCCTCGTGAATAACAGTTAGGTGGGTCAGCGGGCCAGCGGACCAAGCGAAGAAGCCTAGGTTTCTGTGAGTAGGGACCGAAAGAAGAGTGTTTCCACACTCACCGTCATGGCTTCTAACAACGCAGACTGATGCTTCACTCCCACGTTTAAATGCACATATGTACCCCTTAGAGTAGACAGGGGGACGGCTGCCGTGGAAGCTCAGTCGGTTAACTTATCGGACGCGTTAGTCGAAGGTCGCAGGTTCGGTGCCTGCCCACGGCACGTTATCTTTTTCCCCATTTATTGCGATTGCAAAAATATGGACACTCTTGGCGTAATTTTGCCGCTGGAATCGACGTCGCCATCAAAGTTCATCGCCGTATATGTATACATTATCTATACATACGAAAACGCAAGAAAGAAAAATTACCCAGAAGCAGACTCCAGCGCGCGGAATCGAGCGTGGGGCCTCTGAGTTGTGATTGCGAGGCGTAAGTCACTGAGCCACGAAGAATCACCTCCTTCACCGTTCAAGTGGCAAGCTATTTATATATCTATCACTTACCGCTGGTGACGCGCATCTCGAGGGGAACTATCGCGGTTTCAGCATTACCACAACATGGTGCATTGAGCGCACGTGGCCACATCGTCACAACGCGGTTGCACGGGCTCTCATCTTCCACGTGTACTTTGCCCCGAAGAGAGGGAGCAGGGTGAACGCTCTCTCGCGTGCCCTTATCTCGCCGTGCGAAGAGTCGTACGTCTTAGCTGACCTTTGGCTTTCACCGCAACGATTCTGTTGCAGTCACTGGGCACACAAAGGTCACTGCAAATTTTGCACAGCCTCTGTTTGCGAAAAGAGCGCGCTTTTCAGCCACGTAGTAACTGACAACTTAGACGCTTATTCGCCTTCATCTATACCTGTGAGTACGTTTCGTGTGTTATTTTTGCGTGAGAAACACGGGGCACGTTGCGATCAGCTTGCCATTCTGTGCGTGACCTTATAATTTGTTGCCATCGCGTTCATTGCTCCGTCCACTCGTGCACTTCACTTAAGCACCAATATACATATACATGTACATATATATATATATATATATATATATATATATATATATATATATATATATATAGATATATATATATATATATATATATATATATATATTGGATAAAAACGGAGCTTTGTCGCTCGGAGAAAGCCACCTTTTTGTTTGCACAATGTTTCGGTTACAAAGCGATCTTCAAGCGGCAAGAGCAGTGACTTTGGTATTCTAAAATGATGATTTGTTGTTGCAAAAGATAATGCTTTTATTTTTATTGTCCCATTCATATAGGCACCTTATACAGCCTCCATACTTGGACGATGCTTATTGTTCTTACGCGCGAAACTCACCTCCACCACAATACTATGCACACATGCTGCAAGCAAAGGTCTCTAGCTGGTCTGCTACAACAATGTGATCATTTTTCTTTTCCCGAACAATCGAACAGCACGTTTTCTGAAAAAGATGGTGCAAACCTGCGAAAATGATATTTATTGTTACCGAAGCTCACACATGTCCCGTCGTGGCCATAAAGAGCAGATAATACTGCTATTCGCTGCGGTTACCTCCGTTGTACATGAAACGACTTCCGCGTGGCGTAAGTAGCCCACATAGTTCAGTTACTTACTTAACTGGGCAGGAAGTGTGTGTTTACAGAGGAGTTTACAGATAAATGGAACACTTTCGTTCGCAGCATGTCTGGATTTCACTCTGTGGCAATAGCTTAGGGGTTTAGATTTGCATAAGACGACTGCTGGCGGACTGTTCTAGACTGGTGCCGAGTGCGAAAGATATTCACACGTTTACTTGCAGTTATGAGACGCTTAATATGACAAGTTCTCATCAGAGTGTTCCCTTTAAAGAGGGCGGTACTGTACATTGCTTGAACAACTGTTTCTGTAGTGCAACACTTGAATCATGTAATATAAATTTTAATTCAATAACCGGTGCGTGTCTCTCATAATCATATCGTGGTTTTGGGCCGTAAAACAACAGTATTATATTATCGATTACCGACGTCTTCAAGCATCTACTCTAGCCCAGTGTCTTCACTCGTTTAATAAGCACTGCGTGCCTACGTTAACTTTTTAAGCGAAACCTCTATGAGTTACACTTTTCCCTGGCACAATGCGTCCAAAATGAAGACGCCACTACATTGTTCTCCTGTGTACTCGAATAGGCTCTCGAAGGTGGGCCGGTCCCATGCGCAATTTTACGTGATATCTTGTTAAAACAATAGACATGTACAATTCAGGAAGTCACAATAACATAAAAAATGTCAGGCGTGTAGCTTTTTTACTTCTTTACTTTACCTACGATATTTTTAGTCAAGGTGCAATAAACTTTTATCTTTTTTACTGAGTGATTGCGAGGAATGTTTTTTTTAATTAGGTCCAACTCGCCCAACTGCACAGACTCTTTGGTGCGCCATAGGTGTTATCCTGATAAGCCACGACTTCCACCCCCCCCACCACCACTTTAGATCATTGCGCAACAACATAGCTCAATGTTAAACATAAGTTTCCTTGAAACACACTCTTTTTTTTGTGATGTACAAACGATCATCGAGGCTTTTCTCAATGTTCAAGATACCGAACCGCGAATATTCGCGTTAACATCCCCATACTTCACTCTTTGTTTTTCTTTTTGTGCAGCACACGCTTACGGTTGTGGGCCGAACCAGGAAGCAAGCTGTTGTGGCAAAAGCAATACCCACGAAGCATACTGCGGCAGTGACGGTATGAACGCCAATCAACTCAGGCCGTCACAATGCCGTCTAAGTTCAGGTTTGATGTGTGTCTGCACCACCGGCTTCTACAGAAAAAAACCTGGTGGTTGTCGCCCGTGCGTACGCGTCGACATGTGCAATTAGTGCGCTCCGCCTGTAACAGAATTCTGCCCCCATGATCTTATCGTAACTATGGTTATTTGGTCTTCGTAACATCTCTTGGATGTCGCAATGTGGTAAATGCGCGCTGCTTCGCAACGACCAAGCTGTCGCAATTCTACCGTACCAACACAAAGCAGTGGAATAAATATGGCAACTACTGTCAAGCATTTTGGTATTTTTTAGTGTTGTAGTCATTATTATAACCGCCTTCACACCATTTAGTATCTTCTCTGCACCGTTATCCCTACTTAGACACTGAAATACGGTGCAGGCTTTTTTTTTAATATCGCCTATCCCTGCCCATTTATTTTAGGAGGAAACCTCCTTAGCCTGTAGGTCACGGAGAAAGAAGTATTCACTCCGTACCGTGGGTCGTCCCCACCTCTGTTGTTGTTGTTGTTGTTGTTGTTGTTGTTGTTGTTGTTGTTGTTGTTGTTGTTGTTGTTGTTGTTTGTCACCATCTCTACTTTATGAGTTGGTCAATAGATGAAGTTGTTTGTATATGTCCTTGGGAATAGTGTAACTGGATGACGTTAGTGGTTTTCGAAGCATATTCATGTAGCGAATGATAATGAGTAGGTGAACCGTCCATCCATCCATCCGTGCGCCTGTTTGATCGCCCGTCCGTCAATGCGTTTGTCTGTCTGTTTGTGCTTCCGTGAGTCCGTCCGTGCGTCTGTCTACCGTTCTTGCTTCCGTACGTTTTTCCGTGCATATGTTGGTCCATCCGTGCATGCCTGCATCCGTCCGTCCGCCTGTATGTCCGTCTGCGCTTGCGTCCGTCCATCCACGTGTTCGTCCGTGCTTCCGTCCATCCGTACGTCCATCTGTCCGTCCGTCTGTTAATGCTTTCTTCCAACCATCCGGGCGTTCGTCCATTCATGCTTCCATCCATTCAATCGTCCGTCCGTGCGTCCGTTCACACATCCACGCTTCCATCAGACCAATTCTCTACGAGTACGTCCGTCCGTATATCCGTCTACGACGCATGAACGGGCGGATGGACGCATGGATGAAAGCACGGACAGACAGACGGACGCTTCACCCAATCATCATCATTCACTGCATAGATATGCTGTGACTTTTTTGTCTTCCTTATATAATTTGGTAGTTATCGACATAATCTGCGTCCTAATTGTTCTGATTCTAATAACTTGCTCGTTGTACAATTGTTACGTCCGTACAATAAGTCCGTACCGTCGTTGCGAATTACGGACCATAATGTGGATAGAAAAAGTTGTAAAAAAATTTAGAGTACTTGGTACTCTACTAAGCGAGAGCGAAAAGCCGGTCCGTGGGCCTCACAAATGAACCCCAATAACACCAAGTCATGCCAAGACATGTATCACAATGGCACTAAGCCTTGTTCTTTAGAGCCATGCAACAAAACTGTTGGCTATAAATAATAATGAAATAAATAATTATTTAATTATTCTTGTCTGTATTGAGATGATTATATATCGCGTGTAAACCCCCTTTCAACTAGACGGTATCCCAACTTTCCTATTCACACCCGTGTTCTTGGCTGCACTTAGTTTCCCCAAGGGTTGTTGAAAGCTTGAACAATTTACGCGGTTCTGTTCATAGATTGGCTATGACAATTTTCATATAAGCACTGTTGTAAAAATACTACCATTATGGTTGTGGTCTTTTACGTTATCCTTGAGAACTATTTGTTTTTTATAACAAGAAATATTCTCCATTTCCGGAATAAATCTGCCAAGGGTGCAGTGTTTCAAAGAGCTTGATTAGTCCAGGCTTAAGAGCAGGTTATTGTGGTTCTGTGTGGGGCATCTTGCGCGTTTGTGTTACTTTTAGTTCAGAAATATGTACCAATCGACTTCGCCCAAATGCCCAAATGATCATCTTGTGATCTGAGGGATGGAGAACGAAATTGGGCAGGGGAGACACGTGCTCCAAGGGCCAGCTTAGGCTACACCTCTGCCCCACAATAAATAGCTAGATTTGAATACAGCGACGCAGACATACATACACTAAAATACATTTCAATCAATAATCACGACTATCATCCTCCCGTAAATTTTGCCTTGCGAATCCTTTCACTGGTGGCCGCATAGTTCCGACCTTCTTACAGCACGTTATCACCGCTCAAGGACGGGGCGTTGCTGATGGTGACGTCCATGATGAGGTCGGCGCCATTGCAGAGGCGCTCGGCCGTGCTCATGTCCAACACCAGGCCGTCTCCGCTCCGGTCAGTGTCGGCCTGCGAGTGCAGGTTCCGGGTCCTGGCTGACCACGAGAGCCGGTGTTCGGCGCCGCGCAGGTCGAACTGGTACAGGAAGCGTCGCGCCTCCTCGCTCGATCCGATGAGCAGCACGGCGCCGAGGAAGCGGTGGCTCGAGGCCCTGTTGTTCCTCTTCCTGAGCATAACGACGAAGTCGCGGCCCAGGCACGTCTGCAGCGCCATCCAACAGAAGGCTTCGACACGCCGGAAGTTCGTCGCCGTCACGACCACGTTCTCGCCTGTACGTTAAGTTGCGTGGAAAACGAGCATTTAGTTAAAGGGCGTGTGTACACGGACTACATGTCTCCTGGTTTACCTGCTTGTACAGTTACGAAGTCATCATATAAATACCAACCTAATCTGCAAGCCTGGCCGTTCGGCAGATCCTATATTGATTAGATCGACTTGAACTAGGACAAGGTTTGGGTTTAGGCTTGATTTGCGTGGCTGCAAGTGTGACCTGGTTAGTTTTATTAGCTGGTAGATTGCTTAGTACACCATTTAATCGGTTGAGTTATCGTCGGTTGGTTAGTCAGTTGTCACAAGTAAGCCCGCCACCTTTCCGAGAGAAAGCTAACGTACTGATGGCCCTTAAACAAGTCGGTTGCCCATTGAATGGTCTGTCTGGCAGTTTGACCAGCCGCAGACAAACGGTCAGTCGGCCAACCATTGAGTAGTTTTTCCGTTAGCCCATCTATCGGTTCGATTGACATTGCGTCCATCCGAAATCGTGTCTGTTGGCTCTCAGTGACTTGTTTCGTCTGTTCGTTGGTCTGACGGACATGACCGACCCCAGACACTGCCCAGTCATTGAGTTGGCTGTGACCAGCTTTTCCACTACGTGCGCGTGAACGGTCTATACACTAGTCATATGTTAGTTGGGCGGTCCTCGCCGCTTTTCTAGCTAAAATGTCGATGGTCACATGACGCCCCTGGCTGACCAATTGATCATTAGTCCACGGTCGGTTGGTCATCGGACTACTGGCACGTCTTTCAAGCTATCAGATAGATTCACGGATCGCCTAATGCTCCGTTGATTAGTTGGTCAGATCGTGTGCAGTTTACTTTCCGTCGGGTTAGGTGAGATTGGGTTGAATAGTTCGTGGGTTTCGTCCGACAAGAGTAGCCATACACCCAGTTCATCAAGAAACGTTAGATAAAACGCATGGTGACATGGGTTAATTATTACTGTCCAGCCAACGGCCACGCGTATTGAAGGACGGGACTGTACTATGCAATTTCTTTCACGGCTAGGGAAGAATGATTTATGCAAAGGCATCAAATCACCGAATCTTCGCCAGCTTCAGCGAGGCTCACTGCATACCTTCCAGGCATTAAAATATACTCGTGCAAGAAAGTTAAGCGTGCAAACATTGACACGAAAGAGTATCCCAAGAAAAGAAAACCGTTAGCGTCTGTTTCTGTTCCCATGTTTTCCTGTGCTGTTTGCCTGGTGCTCCGGCCAAATTCAATCAAGTACCTCGGATTTCTGCCGTCGCTTCTACTCGCTGACATCATCAAGAAGGTATACACTATAAAGATATCCATGTCCATGTTAACAAATGGCAGACACGCTAAATTTCCGATAACTCTACGGATGTAAAAGAAAGTCATCTCCGAGAACGTCTTGCGAAGTGAATGTAGCACGTGTCTGTAAATTCTAGAATATCTCATTCACGCCACCCTGAACTAGATAGGAAACAGGCCGAAGAGTGCCCATATTTGCAAAATAAATCCTATCGTACTCCTACTCCGCTACATATGACGTTTTCGTAACACTACTCAGAATAATTCGTACAGCGTGGCCCATGCTCTAAAGATGGCTTCCCTTGGAGCCACTGAAACAGCGCTATTGTGAAACCAGCATGGGAGACGCGAAGTTTGCAAAGACACATTTATCTTAACATAACGTCACGTGCCAGGTTTTTTGTTATTTAGGCACACGGGCAACCCTTTCACATCATCACATTCAAGCGGAATAACCGCAATTTGTATGTAGTGAAAGGCGCCGTGGTGGAGTACGAGTAATTCCAGAAGCTGCATCCATGGCGTCACATGCAAGAGACATAAACGTAAAGTACGCTTTGAAAACCAAAGAGGACTCCTTAAGTCGCATACTAAGAGGGTGCCCCAAACAGCTGACCTCACAGAACTTATGCGAGAGTGATGGCGGAAAGCTCTGCTCAGCTACGATGTACAGGACCAATCCTGTCCTATCCAGAATGTCTGGGATGCTACTAGGTGACAAGGTCTTCCGTCCTCCATATAAGTGGTCAGACCTAGACTAACAGCTAGCCAGATCTCTAAATAAAGTTGTCTCACTCACTCACTTGTTCGTACTACCTGTGCGCATCACTCTGTGTCGTCCTTGTTTTTTTATGCCAATGCATTTCTTAGTCAGACTATGTCCCGCATCCGACGTTGTCCGCGGCAGGGTCCACGCGCTGGCAGGTGTTGTCTCTCCGCTCTCAGTCCTTCTCCCTTAGCAACAGCTGCGGGCGCACGCGCTCATCATCGCCCCTAGCAACCAGAGCATGTGCTGGGAGAGAGTGTAGGAGAAGGTAGGTGCAGTGCTTCTCTCACTATTCGCTTTCTCTCCTCCATGCGCCCCACTCTTCCGTCCGCTTGTGCCTCACTCTAGACCATTCGCTCGCCTGGTGCCTCAAGACGATGGCAGAAGTCGGTGAGGGCGAATGCCTAACGGCAACGGTACAATCTCTCGACGCAAGAACTGCATTCGCATTTGCTCATCTGTCCCTTCGGAGAGGTGGGGGAATTTTTACTTACCCTGCAGCGCTTCGCAAGCACGGAGACCTGTAAAGCTTGCAAAAGCTGTCCGTCTCGTGAAATGCGGTGCGGTTGGTTTTCATAAATGAATACGAGCCAGGTTATCGGTTTGGCGCTATAATTGTGCGTACTGTCTATGCGATACTCCACCTTGTAATCTCGGAACAAAGTCGTGCGTGCCGAGAATGTGTCCCACGAGCGTCTGCAGCGGTCCTCGCCACTTGCAAGACTTCCTGCCGAGCACGCAGCAACAGGGTCTGGATGCAAGCGCGCGGAAAGCAGTCACGTAGAGAGCACGTTACTGTGCGCACAGGCATTTCAAGGCTCTGCTGCCAGTCAAACACCGAACGCTTACGCGGAAATGGAAAAGAGCGGTTTCAGCGGCACAACACGTGGTACAGCAGTGCTTAAGTGCTATACGAAACTTGTGCATTTGCGTAACTGCAAATGTGGCTCATGCTCAGCCAAGTTCACTCCAGCTCCTTTGAGCTGCCTAAGAGTCTCATAATACCGATTACAGATTGCTCGAATAATAGATCCGAGTTCATGCCGATCGTAGTGTGCCTCGATGAGTGCGCAAGCGCGCATCAAGACGCCCAGCTGTTGAGCTCGCATTGATTTTTCTCCACTCGTGTGCCATTGCAGCGCCGGCCAAGGAGCTTGAGTGAAACGCTAGTGCGGCGCGTTCGTGAAGACGAACGCGCCGCTTTAGCGTTTTGCGGCTACCGTCAGGAATGATGAGTGCATTTACCTTCCCTTGGGCGTTCGCACTGAGATTACCGATGGAGCACTGCGCAGCGTCTGTGCGTTGTCTTGTGGTCCACAGCCGCTCTATCTCCACCCTTTAGTCTCCCCCTTTGTTTCCTATTGCTGTCTTCTGAGCAACCAAAAGCACCAGTCGTATTATATATATATATATATATATATATATATATATATATATATATATATATATATATATATATATATATATATATATATATATATATATATATATATATATATATATATATTTTCATCCACTTTTCTTTCTTATTTACATTCCATTGGTTCTAATAACTTCCCCTGTACATTCCTTGACATTATTGTCTGTTAGATCTCATTATTATTAATATATATATATATATATATATATATATATATATATATATATATATGCCAAGGATAGTATAAGGGAAGCTATCAGACTGAATTGTAATGTAAATGTGATGAAAGAAAAGTGGGTGAAAAGATAACTTGCCGTGGCCAGGAACCGAACCGGCGGACCTTCGAATAACACGACCTGTACCTGCTACCTTCAAAGTTAACTGCTTCCTTAATACTTTCCATGGCATTATTGTGTCAGAACACGAAAAAACTAGTCCTCAAATATATACTACTCTCGCTTATATATATATTAAACACGACTAATTCATCCATCTTAGGAGCCGGTATCACACGAAAGCGCAACGTAAGCTGACAGAAGCAGTGCTTACATGTAGTCATACATAATAGCTTGTACGCCTGTTGGTGTTTGACATATATAGAACCAGTTGCATGGATGCACCCACCTTGACGCATAGTGGCACATATCCATCAGGTAAAAGCATCCGGCCACTTGATTCTCTCCTCCGACCTTTTTAGCGAAATATGTAAGCACTGCCGAATGACCATGGGTGCAGGTTCCCGCTCCCGCAACTCTCGAAGGCCCAGTCAATCACTTTAAGAATGCTGCAAACGGGTGTTGAAAACCCGTCGCCCTTAATCTACTGTTTGCTTATTCACGAAAAAAAGCATGTGAGCCCTTCCATCAGATGGTATCGTAGAGAGAATGTGGGAGAGACATAAGACGCGTTTGTGGAGTGTCATGCATGTGCTTCAAAAGCCCTAGACCATTATCGTCATGGATTGAGAGGTCATTGGTTCGACTACCAAAGGCGCGAATTACAATATTTTCTTTCTCCTCCGTAAGCTTCTGTTTTCGTGACGGAAGTAGATCACTGAGATCTTGGCAGAACTCAACTGAAACAATTGTTTGGTTTGAAATGATATTAATCAAAGCGATGAAAATGTCTCCTTCCGGTTTGATTTATTAGCGCGAAATTGTGCCAACGACATCGACACTACTGTGTACATGCATACATCAAATACAGTAATCTTGTAACAGCTCAGCTGATAGTTTAAATGACCAACAAATCGAAATTCACCGTGTTCTCACTTTTCGAAACGGATTTTAGTCCACAAGAACAATACGAACGCACGCCCCACAGCAGCGTTTTAAACACGACATTCTTTCTTGGGGTACTTGTACGCAAAAATTTTGGTCTTTCTGTCTGTCTGTCTGTCTGTCTGTCTGTCTGTCTGTCTGTCTGTCTGTCTGTTTGTACATTTGTCTATTCGCCGTAACGATACTTCAAACGGTACCAAGCGATACACCAAACGATCAACCCTATTCGCAGCGCCCACCAATATTACTCAAGCTTCAGCGTTCATACTTGTGCGATTGTGTTTTAAAAAGCAATTATTGCGCATATCTGAGGCACCATAACAACATGTCCATATTTTGTATGTGTGGCTTTATGCTAGAAAAGGCACACATAAGTAATTTTAAGGACCATAGCATTAATCACGCTGCGCTGACAGAGCAACGCGATGCTCAAAAAGTCAAGTGTTCCCAACATTTTGCTGAGACTAAATGGTGGTGGCACCTGTCAATGGCTTTGCGTTCTACACCTTATCGCCTCCGAGACAGGTGCGCATATTTCTCCGTGCGCGCGCACGCCTTTTATTTTCGAATTTAACCACCAGACAGCGCTCGCATCTAACGTGGCTCGTAAATACTTAGAAAAGAGCAGGAGGCCAAACCAAAAAGAATTATCGGTTAAAATAAAGTGAAGGAAGCTGAGACCGATATGTGGTGAATCGGCATGATTAAAAAGTCCGCACAAGAGATCTATCAAACTTTTAAGCAGGAAATTGCCAAGGAAAGAATCTATGATAATACTCGGGGTAGTTCTCTACTGTTTGAGGCCTGGATGGGAGTATTGCGAACTAAGACATATCGGGCCAAATACGAAGGGGTAGACACGGTATGCAGTGCGTGTGGAGAGGAAGAAAAAACTGCCGAACACTTGATAATGTTCTGTAAAGGGCTTCACCTATAGTTCAGGATGATGGTGCAGAGTTTTTCAAAGCACTGGGGCTTAGGTACAGGGAGGGCGAAATAGACTTAAAGCGGGTAGAATTAACTAAAACGAGGTTATCTGATTGGTGGTTATAGTCAAGGCACGAGTGAAAATGAAACCCTTCACGGCCAAGCACGAATACTCAACCTCAATATATAAAGGAAAAAATAAATCTAGTTTTTGGTTCATTAAGTATTACGGCTTCGTGGCGCTAGCCACCGCGCGATCTAAAGGGTACAGCCATATCTATTCATTCATTCATCAATGTGCTCGTTCACCTTCGCTGCACAGATTTAGACTCTAACGCAGCACTTCCATAATACAATTCACAGATTTTCCTGCGCAGAACATCAAATAAATGTTTTGTTCACTCTCTCCAGACGCAAGAACTATCGTCTTTCGAAGACATTTGCACTGAAACATGCTGATACGTGGCCAATATTTGTTTTAAATAAATGAAGTAACTGGCTAACAGAGTGGCACAATTCGTAATTCTCCGACTAAGTTATCGGAACATGCCGTGAACGTTGTTGCCGAATGGTAAAAATCACGTGCTCATCTCTGCGCTCTAAAGGCTTGTCCCCACGTATCCCTCGCAGCACGTCAGCGCGAGGCTCTTTGACGCGGCGGCACGCGGGAGTGTGGGTGCGTGGCTCCGCGAAGCCGCTCTCTCTCTCTCTATCTATCTCTCTCTCTCTCTCTCTCTCCATATAGGAAAGTGCTCGACACCGCGTCAAATGGAAGTGCACCGACACGCTGCGACGGATATGTGGGGTCAGGCCTTAAAAGATGAACTGCGACGCGACTGCTTACCGCGCTCGCAGGAATTTTCATGCCTCTTCTTGTCGGCGATCAGCAGAGACGTTGTGCAACCCTTGGAGCGATACTTGCAGGGAAACAACGTGGATTCGGCCAGCTTCTCCAGCGCCAAGTTTCTGTTGTTCCCTGAGCGCAAAATAACAGTGCACGAGCGAATCTAAGATACGTTGGACATGTTCTGTATCCTTAAATAATAGAGCCTTAGCTAGAAAAATTCAAAACCATCTCTACCCCAAGTCAAGTCTCTACGATCTGCGGAGCATCCATTCACCTATGTTGCCCTTGTGCTTGTATTGTTTACTTCACCTTTTGAATATGGTAGATATGCCTGTCTGCGGCAAGTTTTATTTTTGTGCTTTTTACTTTCTTCAAATTAATGTCATAATTACTACAATAGTGTTAAAAGAGTACAATGAAGGTCCAATATACATTCCCTGGCTTCATTATCTGTCCATTTTCATTTATAACACAGTCAATATTCGACAGTTATCGCCATCGTTTAACCGAATTCAGCCAACGTTAGTGAAAATCAGCAAGTACAAACATAATTAGTCGACAAAAGAGCCTTGCCAATAAACCGTTAGCTCTCACGGAACCCATGACACATTACCGATGACGATTATCGATGACATATAGTTGATAACGTCGTCGCTTCATTGCATCTACATATTTATAATTTTGTAATCTTACTATTTTTGCTACTGTCATTGCTATTCAAGTATTTGTGTTCGAATTGCGTAAGATATTCTATTTCGCTTTATACTATGGGGCCTCCTGTCTATCCTTATCATGCACATCGTGCTGTGAATAAATAAAATTTTTTGATTGATTGATTTATTGATTGAAAAGAATGGCGGGAACCTTCTAAAGGAAGAGAGGCGTTGAGAAAGTTTGCGGGTGTATGCACCACTGTCAGAACAGCTTTCAACGTATTACTAAACGCCAAATTTGCAGTAAGTAAAGATAAAGACGAAAATAAAGAAGGTATGCTAAAAGAATCACATGGTTCTTGTCGAAGGCGACAGCAACATTCCTTTTCTTCTCAGTTGATGTTTTGATCCGCCACCTGCCTTCAGCTTACTGCACCAGCGATAATTCTGCACTGCCTTCAGGATCAGAGGCTTTGCAAGTTTCCGCGCCTAAGCTAGTTTCGCTTGGCTTCCGTGATCGGCCAACCTGTGCCCAAGCCACGATGTCGAGTCATTTCGTCATCACCACGTCAAAGTTTTGGCAATCTGTGGCGTCACTCTAAAGCAAATAAACATTTTTGGGCAGAGAACCTTTCGATAAAAATTCAGATAAGTCTGTCCACTCCGTCATATCTGAACTGTTTTTCCGAAACGTTCTGCGCACAAAGAAAGTATGTTTTTTTAAGAATGCAAGAACAGCAAGTCCAAGTAGCGAAACCAATGTGACATCACTATGGCGTCATACCGGGACGACATCAAGTAACGAATTTCGACATCATTGTTGTTGACACCACTGACGAAAACGGTGAATTTTCGCGTTTGATGAGGTTTTCACATTTTAAAAGACTTATTTCAAGTGACTATAGGTCTTATTTATGCTATAAATATTCACGTATGCATGGGGATAATTACACAACAACGTTGCTTGTCGCTTGTCGAGCGAGTTGGAACGTGTCGTTCATAATGGTATTGCGCGCAAACACAAGACAGCAGAGAAGTGTCTTATCACTTGCTCGTTATCTTGTGTTTGCCCTCAATACTGTTATGAAGGGCATAATAGTTGCACGTGAAATATGCCTTAGCTCACCTTTGGGAGCACGGCACACTGGACACATGGCGACGTTTTTTCGGCACGGGGCGCACAGGTGATGGCCGTTTTCGCACTGCATGATAGGAGGCAACGCGTAATTCCTGCAGATGGGGCACTCGAGCAGGCTGGACATTTGCGAGACGGACGTTGTCGTCTGCGTTCGGGGCGGGTCGAAAACGCTGATCACAGAGGCCATGACTTCCGCCGCTGATTGGACTGCAAGGGATACTGCGTAACAACGGACCAAGAGTCATAACGAAGGCCACTCGCGCACATCAGTTTACGCACCGAATTACAATGCTATCATACTACACAGCGAAAGAAATTTCCGGGACGTTCCTGATCCTTGACTCAACTGTTTGGCGGGGCGTTAACACGTTGTCGTTCGAATGTGCCATTGTGTATAAGATGGGTTAAGTTTGTGTTTCGTCACGCTTATGAAACGGAACTAAGAACCGGAATCAGTGCGAAAGAACGACGACCTAAAAGGAATGCACAAAAAATGACTAATGCCGGACTTAGAGATGAAATTTTATGGAAAAATCACCGCTTCTACCTCGTCACCGAAATAAAAAAGCGTCAACTTTGAACGAAGATTTTTATCAACAAGTGATCCACACCAGGCCAGCACGCCGGTCATGTCCTCACATCTTACCAGCTCTTACGTTGTCAAACGGCCAAAACGAATACACTATAAACAACGTAGTCAAATACGTGAAAGTATCCAAAGTGCGTGCAGTACTCACGGATTGAGACAGGACTATTTATTGTCAAGCATACGTGTTTACTGTCATTTCCGCCTCCTTAAGTTGGGGTAGGATTGGTGAAATTTCTACTCTAACGAAAAGACCAGAGCCAACAGTTCCTTTAGAGACCAGATTCGTCGCAAATAATGTATAATCTTACAAGAAAACGTATATTTACAGATATTTACAACGATTACACGCGATCACAATGCCTGGCGCACTGGCGGGCTGGAACCAGTCTCTATCCACTTCGTAGTCTTCCCTTTTAGCCAGGGACCCTCTACCGCTTTATGCCCCAATCCCACTACTGCCTTGTGGCACTACCCCGCGGCGTTAAAGCGCCGACCCGGCGCTTGTCACGAAAGGGGAGTGTTGGGCGACACATAAGACTTCAGTCTGACGACGTGCACAACAGTGGATGGTGGTGGCATTGAGTGCGCTTCGTCGACGACTCGCTGTATCTCGTAGGTGAAGTTGCTGATCTTGCGAAGGACTTTGTATGGTCCGTCATAGCGAAATAAAAGTTTTTCGGAGAGGCCGATGTGACGACATGGGGTCCACAAGAGTACGAGAGAACCTGGTGCATACGAAACTTCACGGTGGTGACGATCGTATCGATCTTTCTGAGAGGCTTGAGAAAGCATGAGTCGTTCTCGGGCAATCTGTCGTGCTGCGTCGGCTCGCTCTATGGCATCGCGGACGTATGTGACAGGGGAGCTTGAACCAGCGGGAAGGAGTGTATCAAGAGGCAGAGAGGGTTCCCGTCCATAAAGAAGGTAGAACGGGGAATAGCCTGCGGTGTCATGTCTGGAGGAGTTGTAAGCGAAGGTGACGTAGGGTAACGTTGCGTCCCAGTCACGGTGGTCTGGAGAAACATACATTGACAACATGTCCGTGATAGTGCGATTCAGGCGCTCTGTAAGTCCATTAGTTTGTGGATGGTATGCCGTTGTGAACTTGTGGTTCGTGGAACAGGAACGTACGATATCCTGGACAACGCAAGATAAAAAGTATCGGCCTTGGTCAGTAACGAGCTGTCGAGGAGCGCCGTGATGCAATATGATGTCATGTAGCAGAAAGTCGGCGACATCGGTAGCGCAGCTGGTTGGAAGAGCGCGGGTGATCGCATAACGTGTCGCGTAGTCGGTCGCCACGGCAACCCATTTGTTCCCGGATGCAGAAGTGGGAAATGGCCCGAGAAGGTCGAGCCCTACGCGGTAGAATGGTTCAGCAGGGATCTCAATAGGGTTAAGAAGGCCAGCTGGAAGCGATGTTGGTCGTTTTCGACGTTGACAAAGGTCGCAGCTGGCAACATACTTTTGCACCGAGCGATATAGGCGTGGCCAGAAAAAACGGCGCCGGACGCGATCATAAGTGCGAGTGACTCCCAGGTGACCAGCGGCAGGTTCATCGTGAAGCTGTCGGAGAACATCTACACGCAAATGGGAAGGCACGACGAGAAGGCGGTCAGGGCCGTTAGGGCGCATGTTATGGCGGTAGAGAACTCCTTCATGAAGGAAATACAAGTTCAGAGAAGTGGGTGGAGTAGCGGAACTCAGGCTTTCTATGATGGCAAGTAAATCCGGGTCGCGGCGTTGCTCAGAAGCGATATCAAGAAAGTCTGATATGGATAAGACGCAAGCCTCCGTAGCTCTCTCTGTGGCGTCTGGTGGATCCACTGGATACCGTGACAGGCAGTCGGCGTCTTGATGGAGGTGACCAGATTTATACACGACCGAGAAGGTGTATTCTTGGAGGCGTAGAGACCAACGACCGAGACGTCCCGTGGGATCCTTTAGCGAGGAAAGCCAGCAGAGTGCATGGTGATCAGTTACAACAGTAAAACTGCGGCCGAAGAGGTACGGGCGAAATTTAGCAGCAGCCCAAACAAGAGCAAGACACTCTCTTTCGGTGATTGAATAATTCCTCTCGGCAGGGGATAAAAGGCGGCTGGCGTAGGCGATGACACAGTCACGTCCATGCTGACGCTGAGCTAAAACAGCACCAATTCCGTGGGCACTCGCGTCCGTACGAACTTCTGTCGGGGCAGTCTGATCGAAGTGGGCTAATATTGGCGTAGTCGTGAGGGCTGCAATGAGCGCCGAAAATGCAGCACTCTGAGGCGAATTCCAAGTAAATGGGCCGTCTTTTTTAAGAAGCTCGGTGAGAGGCCGCGCAATATCGGCGAAATTTCGGATGAAGCGGCGAAAATAGGAGCACAAACCAAGGAAGCTCCGGACATCCTTATGAGAAGAGGGCACGGGAAATTGAGTCAATGCGCGAATTTTGTCCGGATCGGGCTGTACCCCAGATGCGTTAACGAGGTGACCAAGTACAGCTATTTCGCGACGGCCGAAACGGCATTTGGAAGAGTTCAGCTGGAGACCAGCGTTGCGAAATACTTGGAGAATACTGGACAGTCGCTGTAGATGGCTTGCGAACGTCGGTGAAAAAACAATTATATCATCCAAGTAGCATAAGCAAGTGGACCATTTGAAGCCGCGCAGAAGGGAGTCCATCATGCGCTCAAAGGTGGCCGGCGCATTACAAAGCCCGAACGGCATTACTTTAAATTGATATAACCCATCGGGGGTTACAAATGCTGTTTTTTCTCGGTCCCGTGGGTCAACAGCGATCTGCCAATAACCAGATCGAAGGTCAATGGACGAGAAAAACTTTGCGCCATGAAGGCAGTCAAGGGCGTCATCTATTCTTGGTAAAGGGTAAACGTCCTTCTTAGTGACCTTGTTGAGATGTCTATAGTCGACGTAAAACCGCCATGTGTTGTCGTTCTTCTTGACAAGCACTACCGGGGATGCCCACGGACTAGATGAGTGTTCGACGACGCCTTTGGCGAGCATTTTCTCGACCTCTTTCTGGATGACAGAGCGTTCGGCGGCGGAGACGCGGTAAGGGCGGCGATGAATTGGGTTGGCATCGCCGGTGTTGATGTGATGGGTCACAACTGATGTCTGGCCTAAAGGGCGGTTGTCAAGATCGAATATGTCCGCATAGGATGTCAACAGACGGTGGAGGTCTTGTGCTTCGGAGGGCGAAAGATCTGGCGCTATCATTTTGGCAATGTCAATGCTTGACAGGTTGGGCGCAGTGAGCAAGTTGACATGCGGAGTAGGTTGCTGAGCCGACAGTTCAGAAATATCACACTCTTGCAGCGACGACATGACGCCTAGTTTAATACCAGCAGGCAGCACATGCGTGGAGAAACCAAAGTTCAAAAGAGACAGATGGGTCTGATTGTGGCATACTCTCACCACGGTGTGCGGGACAGCAATGGAGTGCTTTAGCACAACGTCGGTAATAGGTGAAACGACATATTCACCATCGCGCACAGGCGGATCACACACGAGCTGCACGTAAGTCGCGGCTTGCGGCGGAAAATGCAGGAACTCGGTGGCACAAAGGCGACTTTGAGCGTCATGGGCAACAGCGGCGTCAAAAGGCAGTTCCAACTGAAGAAGACCTGTCGAGCAGTCGATAAGGGCGGAGTGCGCAGAGAGAAAGTCGAGGCCAAGAATCACGTCATGTGGGCACTGCTCAAGCACGGTGAACAATACGACGGTCTGGCGCCCAGCAATACATACGCGAGAGGTACACATGCCGAGAACGGCAGATGTGCTCCCATCGGCAAGCATTACTGCACACTTAATAGGAGGCGTGATCACTTTTCGCAGTTTAGTACAGAGAGCAGCGCTCATGACTGAAATTTGTGCACCAGTGTCTATCAGGGCTGTAACGGTAACGTCATCCACCAAAAGGTCCAAAATATTGCGGCGTGTAGGAATCGTCAACAGAGGATTTGCAGAATGGGTCGTTAATGCAGCGTCACCTCCGGGAGCTGCATGGTCTAGTTTCCCGAGGTTGAGGGCCCAGGTCGTGCAGGGGACCTGGATCGAGGAATCATCGGCGAGAGAGATCGGCGGCCTTGGGGTGATGGCGACCGGCTGAACCTTCGGCCCTGAACGTTAGTAGGAGCAGGCTGTGGATCGTACGGAGTAGAAAAGCGGCGAGAACTGCCTTCAAAGCGACGCCATGTCCCAGTGTTCCAAGATGAAATGGATGACCAACGATTGCGACAGTAGCGTGCAATGTGGCCGGCGCGAGAGCAGTGAAAGCAGATTGGTCTATCATCCGATGTTCTCCATTCAGCAGGGTTCCGGTAGCGGGAAGGGTAGCGTGAAGGGTACACCGGAATCTGGTTAACAGAAGCCGAGCTCTCGGTGGTGCGAACAGCGCAAACAGGTGTGATGCCGAGATTTGCTATTTCTTGGCGAACGACGGCTTGGATGAGGGAGACGGTGGATGCGTTGTCTTGAGGACCGTCAGAGGCGATGGCTGCAGGAGCCATTGCTTCGAGTTCGCGACGAACGATTCGGGTGACATTTTCGGACGATGTAGCTTGCGTGAACTTGGGGCTGTCTTCACAGGTCGAAGTGGCTGCAGTATTAGGCAGACGCGCAAACTGGCGGGTTATGCGACGGTTCTTGGCGTGCTCGAAGCGCTGACGCTCCTTCACAACCGCGTCGACGGTGGCGCAATCTTTAACGATCAACAGATTGAACGCGTCATCGGCAATTCCCTTCAATATGTGAGCGATTTTGTCAGTTTCGCTCATGTTCTCGTCCACCTTTCGACAGAGGCCCAATACGTCCTGTATGTAAGATACATACGATTCTGTCGATGTCTGCACGCGACATTCCAGGTCTTTCCTCGCGGCCTGCTGTCGCCCAAATGGCCTGCTGCATAACTCGAGAAGCTTCAATTTGCAAACGTCCCAGCTGGTCAACTCCGACTCATGCGTCTCATACCAGGTGAGCGCCGTATCCCGCAAGTAAAATACAACGTTGGCCAGCATCAACGTAGGGTCCCACCTATAGTATTCGCTCACGCGCTCGTACAAAGCGACCCAATCTTCAACATTCACCTTGTCCTTGCCTGTGCCCGAGAAGGTTCCGGGGTCTCGTGGAGGCAGGAGAATCAGAGGAGGCAGCTGCTGCTGCTGGTGCTGGTGCTGGTGCTGGTGCTGGTGCTGGTGCTGGTGCTGGTGCTGCTGGTGCTGGTGCTGGTGCTGCTGGTGCTGGTGCTGCTGCTGCTGCTGCAGCTGCGGCTGCTGTTGCTCTTGTGGGTGGGCCTGTTGAGCCATTGCAGAAAAATGAAGGTGGCGACCACTCCGAAGTTCCGTGTTGGTTTGCCGGAAAAGCCAGGTAGGCGTACCCAGCACCTCCACCAATAATCTTACAAGAAAACGTATATTTACAGATATTTACAACGATTACACGCGATCACAATGCCTGGCGCACTGGCGGGCTGGAACCAGTCTCTATCCACTTCGTAGTCTTCCCTTTTAGCCAGGGACCCTCTACCGCTTTATGCCCCAATCCCACTACTGCCTTGTGGCAATATTTTTAATATACAATAATGTTGTACCCGACAACATTTCCTCAAAAATTTGTTTATTCGCGGATGACTGCGTTGCATATCGCAAAATTACAGATGCCTTTGGCGTAGCAACCCTTCAATCCGACTTGAATAACATATATAAGTGGTGCCTCACATGGTGCATGCAACTCAACATTAACAAATGTCAATGAATGCGCATTTCTCGTTCAACACAATCTGTCCTGCCTATGCACTAAATACCTGCCCCCTTCAATCTGTAAGCACATACCGTTATCTTGGCATTCATATTACCAACGACCTCTCTTGGAAACACCACATACAATACGTGCAAAACTTCATCATTATATTGCAAAACTTCATCATTATATGTTTTTATGCATTACATGCATGATGAAGTTTTGAATTGCATGCAAAACTTCATCATTATATTTATCTTCATGTTAAATGTGTTTACGTAATCCTGTAGTTATATTGTTGTTCATCTGTATTTCCGCCCCTCCCTTCTATAATGCACAAATGTACCCTGAGGGTTTTACAAATAAATCAATAAATAAAAATAAAATAAATAAATGTGACGTAGTTGTTTGGAGCCATCACGCATAACAATCCTTATTCTGAAAAATAAAATTGATCTCTCAACTGAATTTCAATCCATGAGTATACTGTACATCACACCAGGCCTTCAGACGTCGCGCTTCTTATAATAATAATAATAATAATAATAATAATAATAATAATAATAATAATAATAATAATAATAATAATAATAATAATAATAATAAGTTTGACGGCTTTTTTTAATTGTAACTTCCACATCCTTGTAACAAAAAAACTTCGCAAACACTTGTTTGGTGCCATAGCCTAACTTGCTAGCAGAGGGACCAATTGTGTGACATACCCACATACTTGCGCAAGCGGTTACACAGCGACAAAGAACATCAAACTGGATACAATGTTTAAAATAGACAAAAAAGCAAAAAACACATGATTGAACTATACAAAGAAACATAGCGCAGAACATTTTTCATTTCCACAATAACGGTACGTTTATGAAGTAAGCCGTAATTTCGTTTATGAAGTAAGCGGTAATTTCGACTATCTCTATCTCTTATTGTGCACTGACATCACACAGCACGCAGGATTCTTATCATTTCGCTTTAAACGACACGCGGCCTTCGGGTCAGCAGTCGAGTTCTTCTTCGGTGCCTTTTTGTCAACTTCCACTCAATAGTAAACCGCGAAACAAAATAAAGCTTTTAGCGACGACTCTTCGAGGAGACTCCCTTTTCATAGAGCGAAGTTCTGTGCTTCGATAAACCCCCAAGTTCCCAATTTTCAAACAAACTCTTCGTTAATGCGTTCGGTCAAAAGTTCTCTAGGTGGCTCTGTTCTTCTATAGCTGTCTACATCGGTGGTGCTACGAACAGCTCAGGACTGAGTACCTAGCTGAGAGCACAGTGTCACGAAAGCAGCAACTCAATTTAGGCCTATTGGTTCTGTTTATATTGCTATTGCTCAAACGAGCAAAAGATGCGGTTCTCCTAAGTGCTCGCCATGACCCCAAGCACCGATATTCAGCATGAACACGTTGTTCAGTGTTACTAAATACGCAGGAAAACGCCGTCCTCACCTTGACGTCACGTCAATTTCGCACCTCTGTTCTTGTTCTCGTTGACCTATTGCCTGTGGCACCTACCCACTGTAGGGGTTTGGCTAATAATTGAGTGTTTTTATAAAATAATGTGCAGTTTTACAATATAATGCAGCTTATATAATAGAAATAACACGGATGAACCAGGAAATTGTGGCGCTTGATCTAATGCATATAAATATATAAATGCTGAGATAGGTCACGTCAGGTTAGATTAAGCTAGGTCGTACCTGTGCCCACACATGGTTTTCCTCGTCTTTGTGATGCAATCGCTTTTCTTATACACCACGCGCCTATTAGAGAGGTGGTGATGATGATTCACGGAAAAATGGTACAATCCAGCACGCAGAATCGACAAAGACGCGTGCTGAAATAAAAATTGCGAAACACAAAATAAAGAAGTAAAAAAGTAGAGCGTTGAGAAAATGAAAGGATAAGCATGTGTGATAAAGATAATCTATGGGTGCGCCAAAATGAGGGTGATAATTTTGGTGTTATTTATTGTAATATATGAACAAGTTCGGGTAAGCTACAAAGGCGAAACGCATTCATTCACAAAGCTTTTATTGTTAGTCTCTACGAAGTCAGTCATAATAAAGCTGCGAAGACTGGGTGACTATTGTCATTATATCAAAATGAAAATGATACTCTCTAATGGTGGCACCCCTGTGGTCATTGATTTGTTCCACATCCCCTTTCAAAACCAAAAATGTATTTCATTATATTAACCGCTGGTTTCCTGGCCTGTCCACCACCCGTAGTGGGTTAGAGCAAAAATCAAGGTACACGTGCCGTAGGACAAGCAAACAAGGCACCCGTCCACAAATTGTTTGTTTGTTTCCCTGGGATGATAGCTGATACCCACTCAGAAGGATTGGCCAAGAAAGTGTAGTGCAGTTTTTCTGTGATCATTTTAACTATGTGTAAAGAATTAGTATTATAATAAGACTAATGTAAAAAACAACATAAAAAGAACAAACGAAAAAAAATCAAGTTGAGCAACTTTGAGATTTGAGGTGTTATGAATACCACTCAGCTGCGTTTACTTCACTCTGCCCTGGAGAGTAATAAGTAATAATTTTTTTATTGAAGATTACAAAGATATACGCTTGGTTGCCTGAATATAATCGCAAACGGCATTGAAAGCATCCTTGTGGTAATTTCCCAAAACTGAGGCACCAAAGCTTAGCGCTGTTTCCGCCGTCAATCAAACGCCTATTTTCAGAAATGGCATAACTAGTAACCTTTATTGAAGCATAGCGTAGCGGCGACAATACAAAAAATAATGATCTAGTGATTCCATTTCTCCGCAGAATGCGCAGAGGGGTGATGTTGTCTGACCAGCTCTGTGTATATATAGGTTTAGGGGGGGGGGGAAGGACACGACATTGAAATTTAGTAATTAAGACTTCGAGCTTTCTGGACTGGCTCCAGTGGGGTTGCCATGGAAACATGAGGTGGTTATATTCGGTCCATGTAGTTACTTTTTCCATCGTATCTGTGAAGATTGCTGATTTTCGATATCTTATTGCCGTCATATATTCAACATCTGGCAGTATGGACAAAACTGGCCCATCAAGTGCGGCTCGGGCTAAGGAATCGGCCAATTCATTTAATCTTAATCTACAGTGTCCCGGAACCCATATTAACCTCAGGAGTCTCAACTGCGGGAGTACTAATGTTTGGAATGTGCTTAGAATTCGAGAGTTTTCTGAAGCTGTCAGAGTTGCAGAAACTGAAAAAGAATCCGTCACTATGACTGCGTTGTTTTGATTTGATGGAAGCTTTCGAAGAGCTAAAAAAATCGCCACGAGCTCCACTTCAAAAACTGGAGTAAAATCAGGCAGTCTCACTGAAAAGGACCAGTCAAGCGAATCAGAGGCAATGCCTACACCTGCCTTTTGATTATTTACGGAAGCATCTGTGGCTATTATATTTTTAGTTTCTGCATGCTCCAAGTAATCTAATTATATGTTATTTAAAATTTTGAGAGATTCTAACTTGGCGTTTTGGGAGAATATATCATCATACTCAATAATAACATGACAATTCGAGTCATTAGTCTCAATTACATTTCTAATGTTCACATTTATACTTTGTAGATTTTTTTGTACAAACATTATCTGAGGTGTGTGAAACCATGGCTAATGAGCAAGAAAGATAATCGAGTACGCTTCTTCTTCGGCCACCACCGCCATCCACGCGCCCTCGCTCAAGCCGCGCGCACGCGACGGTGGACGGTGACCGAAGAAGATTGCTCTGGACGGCTACGTGGCTCATCTCCTTGCTTCCATGCACGGCCGAGCCGCAAGAGCAGCCTTCAGCACCCACGGGCGGCCACGACGAGCGACCGCTACGACAGCTGCCGCCGCCACTTCCGCCACCGGCGCCCGTGCCGAGGCCCGACTTCTGCCAAAAGCCGTACAACCAGTCGCACATCATGTGCAAGGGTGAACCGTACCAGACGTGCATCACGTATTTCACCAACGCGTCCTTCATGAACACCAGGATTCTGTGGGCGCACAACCACTATCGCAGTCACGTGGCCCTGGGTAGCCTGGCCGACTAGCCGTCGGCCGGTAACATGCTCGAGATGCTGTGGAACGACGAGCTTGCCAGGGTGGCCGAGGCCAAGGGCCGACGGTGTGCCAACCGGATGGGCCAGATTCGCAACCCCACTGACCCGCTGTACGGGACTAACGACTTTCCCGACATCGGCCTCAACGTGTACACCCAGTGGGACAATACCGAGACAACGCCCATCATCTTGCGCGTCGTGATCCGCAACTGGTTCGACCAAAACATCGACCTACCCAGGAAGGAGCTCGTCAAATACAAGGACGCCCTCAACACCCAGGACTTCGTCCAACTGGTCGCGGCCGACACGTACGCCCTCGGCTGTAGCTACAAACTTCATGCCGAACATGCGGCCCCAGCCCAATCTCTTCCTCTACCTCTGCTTCTACGGGCCGAAGGCGCCCTTGACAGGAAAGCCCATCTACCAGTCGGCGCCATTCTGCTCGCTGTGTCCGGAAGACACGACGTGTGACGTGTCCACCGGGCTTTGCGTGCTTAGGGGCAAGAAGCCCGGTCCCGCCAGGCCTCCACCCGATCACTCAGGCGAGCGCCCGCCCGACCCCCAGAATGGCAGTGACTCCTACTACGACGCAGCTGTCGCCGTCGCCGAGATGTCTCCACTCATTGCGGCCGCCATAGTCGTCCAGAGATGGCGCCAAGGCGTCAACTAAAGTGGTTACAAAGTAGAGCTAATGTATAGGGCTGCGTATGGTTTCCACATGCACCCACTCTAGACTGAAGGACGGCACGACGAATGTTCGTCATCTGGCGAGATTGTCGGACCGCAGTGAATATTGCGGGAGCGTATTATTATTTCTTTTCAGCTCTTTCTTTACGTGTTTGCCTTCGCATGCACGCTTTTTCTACGTTCCTTATTTGCTTCACACATTTTACCCAACAGTTTGCATAAGTAAAGCACATTAAATGTGTCAACGTCCAAAATTGTCGCTGTGTACACTTCCGACTCACTGGAGCTGTCTAAGCTAAGGGTCATTAACGGGACACTGATTAGCAAAACCATTTTTCTCATGTTAAAACCTTCGCTTTTTCACAGTACCAAGAACCGGACGCTTGCGCCGATAAGACGCTTGGTGAGCTAGAAAATGCGAAAACATCTGGGTCGTGACACCACTTGGTTTTCCCACCCTTCACCAGGACGTCACATATTTTGACGGCACTTACGAGGACCCACGAGTTACTAATTCAAAATGACTCGTCGCCCACTGAGGCGACCATAGGCCGAACATAGCAGGATTGAAAATGTTTTGTCTAGCCAATGTCACCAAAGTGCAATACACTTTGTAATATCTGACATCATGTGCGGAGATTTCTGTGGGACATTTAAAAATAAAACTTTTAACTTTATTTTCTCCTCTATTACTAAACGCACCATAGTGAAACCAACGACAGCCTTTTAAGTCTGCCCCGCCGCGGTGGTCTAGAGGCTAAGGTGCTCGGCTGCTGAACCGCAGGTCGCGGGATGAAATCCCGGCTGCGGCGGCTGCATTTTCACAGGAGGCGAAAATGCTGTAGGTTAGAAGTGTGTTCAGATTTGGGTGCACGTTAAAGAGCCCGAGGTGGTCTAAATTTTTGGAGCCCCCACTACGGCATCTCTCACAATCATATGGTGGTTTCGGGACAATAAACCTCACATATCAAAGCCCTTTCAGTCAAGGTGTGCACAAATGTACATAGAAACTTCAATGAGAGGTCGCGCACCCCGTGTTTCATCAAATGACTTGAAACAGTAGGAGCATTCGCGCTGCCCTCCTAAGTGGACAAGTGGAGATTACTTAACTTCATTATGTTGTATATTGCTGTAGTTGCATGTTGTTTTCATTTATATGTGCGGTTCCACTTCCCAAAATCATCATATTAAGAGCCATGCTAGACGATTGTTCGACCTTGCGTTCTAGGACCAGCGCGACAATTACTACAAGTAAAAAATTGTGCATGCATTTCAGGCCTAAGAGTGCATTCATTTTATGCTAGTACCGAAGGTAACTGATGACAAGATATTTAGATAACTAGTTACACCCTCATTGGCTTTAGTTACAAAATCTCACGAATCAAAACGCTTTTTTTCATTTTCTTACTTGCATTGGCCTTGTCATTGCGCCCCACAAACTTCACGAGTTTCCGACAACGCATCATTATTCGTGACTGAATAGGTCAGAGTTCTTGAACACACTATCTACTAATCTAAACGAATTCAATGTTTTTTTATGGTGTCCCTTTACAACCTTAGATGCAAAAAAAAGTCACAGCTTCGGCAAAGGCCGCAACAATGAATGAGATGGCAGCACATTAGGCTGTTGAAAGAAGCCAGGTTAGGAGATTTAAGAACCATGCGAAAATGTAGTGAACATAGTCGGTTGGGCTTGGATTAACAGTAATGCAGTAACTGCAATATCCAAAAGGAGGTTGTGAATACTGGACTGCGTGACATCCAACGGGAGACCAAGTCCAAGTTGGTCGTCTAGAAACGTGACAGGCCACTGGTTTTCACGTCGAAGTACATTGAAGTGTCCAGTGACTATCACCGGAACATCCTGTAGGCACACCGCACGGAAGTTGCTCACTACTAAGTTCATGAC